GTCACCAAATCCATTTTACTTTCCTTCTGGGAACACATCTAGAATATATCACCCAAACTCCCTTACAGTTAGATGTGTCCATGTGTTAAGTTCTAGCCAATGAAATATAAGAGGAAGTGATGTGTGCCATTTCCAAGCCTGGCCATAAAACCTTCCTGCATGATCCTCTATACTCCTTTCCCCTGTCTGCCAGCTGGAAGTCAATGCCCAGTGTGGCCTTGGAAGCCACATGGGAGGTTGCAGAGCTTCTGTGAGCCTGGGTTAATAAAGGTCAGGCACAGAGTACCCCTCCTCCCCTACTGCCACTGATTGAACTTTATGTGAGCAAGAAATTAACATCTATTATGTTAAGCCATTGACCTGTCAAAGTTTCATCTGTTAGCGTAGCTAGGGTTAAGCAGACATCATGGCTTTGGTCATTCCAGACCCCTTTGGGGACCTCAAAAGAGCCTTGCTGTGTCTCTCTGCTCCCTCTGCCTCATCCTCCTGTCCAACACTGTTCACTCTACAAGTCCAGCCCCAGGCTCTCCTCCTCCACAACGACTTCGCTCACTCCCCAGGCTACTGCCTCTCTCTGCATTGCAGAATAGCTAACATTTATTAAGCACTGACCATGTGCTAAGACTTCACAACCATGTCTCTTTGAATTCTCGCAACCATGTGAAGCAGATGCTACCGTTCTCCCCATTTTAGAGAAGTACAGAGGATTAAGTGACTTGTCCAAGGTCACACAGCTATTAAGTGGCAAAGTTAAGATTTCAACTCACATAGACTGGCTCCAGGGGCCCCACTCTTTATGGTGACAGGACACTGCCTCTACATATCCCCACTACTCTTCTTACAGCCAGTAAGAATTTCTCCTATGGTGAGATTTTTAAATGCAAATTAAATATAATGTGATCCTTTAATTAGAGAGCATGATTTACACTGAGCAGATCACGGTTGGTTGTGACACGGTGGAGAGGAAGAAGCTGCGACAGGGGAACTAGTGGAGGAGATGGGTGGGGCAGGGGAAGGCAGTGTCCCCATGTCTTTAGGATGCTTCCTTGGAGGGGCTTGGCCCTTTGTTACTCCAGCAGAAGATGGTCAAGGCAAATGGAAGGTGGGAGAAGTCTGCCCTAGCGACAGTGCTGGGTGACAGAAAAAGAAAGGCTGTTCCTCTTGAGCAAAAGTGTGAGGACGTCTAAGGCTGGATTTGCTCTGTGATGTTCAGGTTTTGCAACCATACAGTTATAGCTGTAAAAACACCTTTATTATTGACATTCCTGAAGGAAAAATGACTTTGTTACAGCGAGTCTGAAACTATCTAGCCCTTAACCTCCTTCTCCCCTTTGAAGCAATTGTCACTATTATTCCATTTTTTATAACACAAGATTTCTTAGGAATGCAGCCTCGGCATCCTAATAGAACACAGCACAGGACTGGTGTCTGTCAGGATGTCTATCTCCCCTGATTCAGCTCCTTGAGGGCAAGATCAGGTCAGCTCCATTGCTGAGACCTCAGAGAGTGGCACAGAGCCTGGCACGCAGCAGGTGCCAATGGCTGTTCGCTGTGTGCTGCCTCTGCTGCCACTCCCCACCCCTCCTGAGAACCCACCTTTTATTTCTCTTCTCCGTCACATCTTTTGGCAAATGTAACATCACCAGCTGGTCTGACCCTCCCTGATCTGTCTCCTGAAAACGGCCTGGCTCATTGCAGACCAGCATTGCCCAGAGCCCATACTCATGTGAAATCACAGCACACACCATTACACACTGCCACCATTGTCACTAAGAAACCCTTAGCAGCCCAAAGAGACCTGGGTTCAAACCCCAGCCCTACTACTCCCTAGCACAAAGGTCTTGGTCAAGTCATGTAGCCTCTCTAAAGCTCAGTTTCATCATCTGGAACATGGGGATAATAATACCTAATGTAGAGCACTGTTGTGAGGATTAAATGAGATAATGTATAGAGCCTGGCATCGTGCCTGACATACAGGCATTAAATAAATGAGAGTTGTTGTTTAGCACTGTTTCTTCCTCATAAAATTCCCGATAAAGAAGCAGAGATAGTCCTGGTATTAGTTAACAGAAGAGGAAACTGAGGCCCAGTGTGCCTCCACTTCACTCATCCACAGCATCATCTTTCCAAGCGCACTCCAAGTCCTACTGGCTCTTTTGAGCTCCCATAGCCCTTTCTCTCTGCTCCCTCATTTGACAGAGTGGCCCCATAAAACCCCTTGTCAGAGAGCACCTTGTATTGCTGTATCTTTATATAGGGTCCTGACTCCCCAGCTATACAGAAAGCCCCTAGAACTCTTAATCCAGCTGAGCCTCATTTCCTCAGATGTAAAACAGAGACATTGACAACAAGTAGATTTTTAGCACCTACTCTATTCCGGGTCCAACGTTAGAGGTTGTGGGGAATACATAGTCTCTGACCTCAAGAAGCTCCTGGACTAGTGGGGGTGACAAACACATCCACTCCTAACTAGAACCCACGGCAGTATGCTAAAGGAACAAGAGACAGACAAGCCTTGTGTGGCGGGGTTCAGAGGAGGGAAAGATGTGGGCAGCCTCTTGGGAGAAGCAGCATTTGAGCCAAACATCATCAGAGATGACTGGATTCCAACAGGCAGAGTGGAACAGAGAGGGTGTTTGAGGCAGAAGGATATTGTGGGCAAAAACTTGGAGGGGGAAATTTCCGGGCCTATTTGCGAACAGCAAGTATTTGCATCTGCCTGGAAGGCGTAGAGCTAGTAATGATGTAGAGGAAGCCCCAGCTGATTGCTTCAGCCTCTGGAGAAGGAGCGCTGAAGGGAGGAACGATACAGTTGTTCCTAGTTCAGTTGAGGAAAGAAAGAAAGAAAAGTAAAAGCCTTTGAGAGTCTTTGAGGAGACACAAACATAACACGATCAAAAACATCATCACAGAAGATTAATCTGGCAGCGTGAGAAGGATGGACTGAAGTGGGAAGAAACTGGGGCACAGAGACCACAATGAAATACCACTTCATATTCATCAGATAGGTGAAAGTTAGAACGTCTGATGGCACCAAGCGTTGAGGAAAATACGGATCAATGTGAATTCTCAGACGCTGGTGGTGGGAGTGTTAATTGCTAAAACCATTTTGGGAAACAATTTGGCATTATCGTATACAGCTGAACATTTGCATATGTTCTATGCAACCCTATGACCCACAGTTTCACTCCGAGACCGATATTCCCTAGAGCAGGAGTTCGCAAAGTGTGGTCCAGGGACCCTGAGACTTTTTCAGGAGATCCATGGGGTCAAAACTATTTTCAAAATGCATTCAAAAGACATTATTTGACTTTTTCACCCCCATCTCATGAATATACAGTGGAGTTTTTCAAAAGCTGCATGATTATAATACGGCAGTAGACTGAGCACAGAAGCAGATATGAGAATTCAGCTGTCTTCTCCTAAGCCGGATAGCAAAGAAATTTGCAAAAATTTAAACAATGCCACTCTTCTCATTTAATTTGTCTTAGAAAATATACTGGCGCCGGCCCGGTGGCACAGCAGTTAACTTAGCACGTTCTGCTTCGGCAGCCCTTAGTTTGCCGGTTCCGATCCCAGGTGTGGACATGGCACTGCTTGGCAAGCCATGCTGCGGTAGGCATCCCACATATAAAGTAGAGGAAGATGGGCATGAATGTTAGCTCAGGGCCAGTCTTCCTCAGCAAAAAGAGGAGGATTGGCGGTGGATGTTAGCTCAGAGCTAATATTCCAAAAAAAAAAAAAATATATATATATATATATATAGTTATTTTTCATCTAAAATATATGATTTATGTTAACATATATTGAACTTGTTATTGTCATCTTAAAATGAACTAATAAATAAAATGGTTATATTTTTCTGTTTTAATTTCCAATATAATAAATATCTACAACTATAATTCACATAAGCAAAAATTCTTTCGGATCCTGAGACTAACGTTTCATAAGCGCTGCCCTAGACAAATTCTGGCACATGTGCACAGGGGCATGAACAAGACTATCTGTAATAGCATTATCCTAGCAAAATATTTGTAATAAAAACTGGAGATAACTCAAATGTCCACAAACAGGAGAACAGATAAAACAAATTATGGTATAGTCACACAATGGAATATTATACAGATTGAAAATAAATGAACTACAGATTAAAAAACACAGCAGGATATTTCTAAGACTTATGGTAATTTACACTGAGCAAAGACAAGCCAGGTCACAGAAGAACATACTTCCTGATATCATTCTTATAAAGCTCAAAAACAACTATAAACTAACATGTATATTTAAGGACACATACATATCTATAAAACTTTTTTTAAGCAAGAGAATGATAAATGCACAATCAGCCCTCTTAGATGGAGGCTGAGCACTGAGATAAAGGAGGAGCACACACAAGATGAACTGGTTTGATAGCGTTCCAGTCCTTAACTTGGGTGTTGGATGCTGGGTAGCTACTTTATTGTGATGCTGTATAATTATATATATGGTACATACACTCTTTTAGGTATCAAATATAATATTAAAAAATAACATAATCCGTAGAACCCAGGCTGTGGCCTCTAAATACCATTTCCCACTAAAAAGAAAGGGAGGCAATAGATAAGTGGCATTTTAAACTAGGAACCTATTGAAGGCCCTTTTCACCCCAAGCCCTTGGAAAAATGATTGCAGGTCTGGGGCAGGAAATGTACAAAACGGAATGTCTTATTCTAGACAGCAAGGAAGCTAGCAGAGGCTCCTGAGGCCAATATCAAAAGGACTCAGAAACCAAGTTGAAGAGGCTCCCATTAACCAAGGATGGGATCATTTGAGCATCAATAAATAAAAACTGAAATGGATTGAAACACATCACACTTATTCAAATCCATGAGTTCATAACGATACAAAATAATCTCATTGGCCACCTTTGGAGAATGCTAGAAAACCAACTCATTATTTTAAAAACTGAAAATAAAGGGAAACAATCAAGCATTTATCCTGCTTTCCTGTATAAACCGTACCTTAGAGGATCCAAATCGTTTACGAGAGGATGTTTCTCTTTACAGAAGTCCAGCTACACAAAGAAAAACATAATAGAATATTACTATTATGCAAACTCTGAAGAAACAATGGATCTAGGCAACAGTCAACAATGGCTGCTAACAACAAAGAGACACGACAATTAGACATTTGTGTGACTCCTGACAGATGTTCACCCCACCACCTCTGAAGTGTTCTTTGTCAAAAGTCAAATCTGATGAAGCCTCGAGATTTAACTACTGACATACAGGAAACGCAAGGGACAGAAGAACATATCAAATGACACCATGGGACACAATCAGCAAAGCCCAGACGTGGGAACAGGACGAACAACCCAGTTTCTTCCACAGATAAATAGCTGGGGCAAAATAAGAGGAGGGGTAACCTACAGACTAAAAGAGACTTAAAAAAACTATAAGCCAATTGCAACATATGGGACTCACTCAGATGCTGAATCAAACAAACCACAAAGGAAATAAAATGATGAGTTAAGCTAGGAAATTTGAAATGAACTGCATATTTGATGACATGAAGGAGTTTTTTAATCGCTTTTTTAGATATGGTAATGACCTCGTAGTTATGTATTCTTCCTGTTTTTTTATTGTGGCAAAATTCACATAAAATTTACCAGCTTAACCAGTTTTAACAGCTCAGTGGTACTAAATACATTCACAATGCTGTGTCACCATTGCCGCCATCCATCTCCATAACTCAGTTCATCTTGTAAAACTGAAACTCTGTACCCATCAGACAAGTCCTCATTCTCCCCTTTCCCCAGCCCCTGGCAACCACCATTCTACTTTCTGTCTCTCTGATTTTGACTACTCAAGTACCTCATATAAGTGGAATCATACAGTATTTGTCTTTTTGTGACTCGCTTATTTCTACAGTTACATATTTTAATGCATCCTTATATTTATAGATGTGATGATATGCTGTCTGGGCTTTGCTTCAAAATAACCCGAGGGCATGGTAGGGTGAGGACAGTGGGCAGGAGCAGATGAAACAAGATAGGCCACGGGGGGGATAACTGTTGAAGTTGGATGATAAGTACATGTGGGTTCATTATTCTCTCATATATTCTTTTCTCTACTTTCGCACAAGTTTGGATTTTCCATAATAAAACTTTTTGTAAAGAGCAAAGGCAAAATAAAGGTATTTCCATGCAACAACAACAACAAAAGAAAGCTAATAAAGAAGGAGGAGGAGATTACAAGCGTTCAGATGGAGCATGGCGGCAGCATCGAGAGACCAGAAGCAGTTTGGGAGGAGCGGGGACGAGCTGGGTTTTGCACATGTTGACTCTGTGAGGCCAAACTCCTGCGTTTAAACATCCAAGCAGAAACCAGGGCAACTTGGAAAGATCCTCTCTGGGTCATTTAAGAAAAACATCAAAACTAAACAAACAAATAAACAAGTTCCAACACACCGTGGATACCCCATCCTCTATGCTTCCTACCCGTGAAAGCAGTTGTTTAGCTCTCTCCGTGCTTCCTGTCCATAAGCCAGTTCCCTATCTGTGACAAACAGCTTCCCCAGGCCCATAGTGACTCAAATGCGATGCACCATTCGGTGCCTTGGAAACCATCCAAGAAGGGAGGAGACCTTGGCAGGGAGCCAGGAGGTCTTCTCAGCGTGAACAGCTTCACCTCACCTGACAGAGGGAAACTGAAGCTCAGAGAGCTGAAGGACCCCACCACACACGGAGCTCATTCTTGGGAGAGCCACCAGCAGGGCTCAGGGCTCATGGTTCTCAGCTGAAAGGGACTCGGCCAGGAAGGCAATAGATAAGTAGCATTTTAAACTAGGAACCTACTGAAGTCCCTTTTTACCCCGAGCCCTCTGGTCACCCTATAGAAAATTCAAATCTACGGGGACTGAGACCTGCTGGACATCAGCACTTGGGACTCACCCTGCTTCCCATCCCTGCCCCTCAGCTCATGCAAAATGGAGCCCCTCTTCCCGACCTTGTTTCAGGGGGCCCCACCAGCCATCCAGGCACCCAAGCAGAAGCCAAAGGAGCATCCCTGATGCCATGTCCTGGTCCCCCACACCTCACAACAATCCATCCATCCAACTGTTATTACTCACTGAACACCTGCCACGTGCCAGGTACTCTTCTATCACTGTCAATGAACAAAACAGACAAAATCCCTGCCCTTCTGGAGCTTACCTTATAGGAGAGGGAGACACATAATAACTGTGACAAGTAAGTTCATCATGTGGCACGTTAGAAAGTACAGACAAAGAGCAGATAGTAGGAACTGCGGGTGCTGGCGGGTAGCGATCAGTCTGAGAACCATCTCTGCATCCTCAGGGCGCTGGCCCAGGCCTCATCCTCTCCCTCCTGGACCGCTATAGTAGCCTCCTCGCTACCCTCCCTGTCCCGACCTGGCCCCCTACTACCCTTCTTGGAGTCAAGATCATCTTGCTCAACCACCAATCTGACCACGTTATTCCTTGTGTCAAACACTCGGACAACTTCCACTGACTGCAAATACTCGAGGACCTGGACCTGCACGGCGCCTGCCGGCTCAGCCTCATCACCCACCCCCTGCCCTCCAACCACACCAGGGAATGTGCCACCCCTGCCCCTCCAGGGGGATGTCAGCCCCTGCTGGGTCCTGAAGTCTGCAACAACCACCTCAGCGCAGTTGTCTTCTCCCTGCTGATAAATCCCGCCCCTGGGATCTCAGGGTCTCCACTAGCTGAAGAGGCAGCGAAAGATCAGGGACCGTGGCCTCTGCCTTTCACTGGGCTTCCTAGAAACAGACTCTGAAGCGAGGAGTTGTGTGCCAAGGGCTTATCGGAGAGTGTGCTCTGGTGTCACACCTGTAACTGGGTAGAGGGTCAAGCTGACCCACATCAAACTGCAACTGATGTCTCAACTCACCCCACAAGGAGCTTTGGAGCTGGGAGGGCCCCTGAGAATTGTCCCAAATTGAGGGAGTAGGGTTGGGCTTTCATATCCCTGCATCAGCCAGTCACGGGCCACGGTGATCTCCAGAGGAAAGACTTCCGCCAGGGCGAGGCAGTTCCTACAGCCAAGGGCAATTTCCAGGGAGCCACCAGCAACCAACGCCCCAGCAGCTGGCCGATGGTGTGTTGACCCTGAGAGGGGATCTGGGCAAAGCACCACAGCATCCACTACAGCCTCTGACAGACCTGAGTTTGAAACTTGCTTCTGTCACTTACAGCTGTGTGACCTTTGTGGGGATAATAATAGGCTCTGACACTCACTGGCTGTTGGGAGTCTTAAATAAGAGAGAATTGTCTGGATACAAATGGCAGCTTGAACTTTAATGCTCATCTTTTCTCCCTCTCGACACCCCCTCCCCTTAAAATGACAGTAAGGAAAAGAGAAGATATAAACCCAGAGGACAGGAAGAGAGGCAGGGGTCATTGACGGATGAGAGAGTTCAGCACATTTCTGTAAGGTTGAAAGGGGATGGAGGAGTGAATGGGACTTAGTTTGCAGGGTGGTGGAAGCCACACCACAGCCTGAGCTCTCTGTTCCACCAGCACCGAACGAGCCCTCTCGGAACAGCCACGCTTGCCATGCTCTCCATAAACTGTGGGCTGAACACCCCTGTCTGGCAGGATGTTCCTTAGAATACCCACATACATCGCTTCCAGTTAACCCATCTGCTTTCCCAGAAACAAGTGCTTATTCCCAAACCTATTTATGGCAGTGATACTCGGTTTTGTAATTCTGTGATTCAATTTAATATTAATAAACCAATAAAATACGGCTGTGAAAGCAGAGTTGTTTTATGAAACTAAGCTGAATGCCTTGAAAGACTCAGTGAAGGCAGAGTGCTATTAAAAAAAATGCTCAGATGAGTTACAGACAATAAATTGTAACAAACTGGGAGGAAATTATACAAATCTAGAAGGAATCTGCATTCGGATAACTTCCTTAAGTTCCTTTAAGCTTTAGCTGCGCTATAAAGAAGCCAAATCAGGAAATGGTAGACCCTGCTTTAGGCATTGAGGTTTGTGCAAGGAAGACCTTATAGAACTCCAGTTAATGGCCCCACACTCAAAAATAAGAGAATAGGCATTTGTATGTTTTAGGTTAAAACAAAATGTTTACAATATGTGTTTCTTTTTTTAATGATTTCTCACTTGAAACAATTTTTTGATTAATCAAATTTGCCCCAGTTTCTACTGAGTCAGATGAGACCTGCAGAAGCTGTACCGATGAAAAGAACGCCAACTGCAGGGCCCAGAAGGGGGTAGAGGAGTAGGAGACAAGATTTTGAGGCTGGAAAGGGCTGAAAACAGGAGGATTAACTGAGAATTTCCCTAGGGGAATAATGAGACCCCACAGGCCTTCCCCCCCCTCACTCTGCAGAGAATGTGGCTGCAGGCAGTAACCCCAGACCTATCACTAGCGCCAGGCTAAGAGCTTTACGCAGATGAACTCAACAGCCCATGGGGCAGTATTCTTACAATGCCTAATCTGCGGATAGGCAACTGAGGCACAGAGGATCCGGTGACTTGTCCAGGGTCATACAGCTAGTAAACAGCAGAGCTGGGATTCAAACCCAGGTAGTCTGGCTCCAGAAACCACGCTCTTAACCACATCCATCCTGCCTTACTGGAGAAGCAGAGCAGTCCCAGAGAAAAGAACTCCCCGTGTTGATATTTATGTGTCCCCCAACCAAAAGGCCTGGTCCACCGAAAGGGAAACTGGCCACCTGCCTTCACAGGACATCCAATACCGTCAACTTCTCAGACCCTTATCCTTAACTATGGACAAAAGCCTAGGACCACAAAATGTCAGAGAAATCTCCAACAGGAGGGACACAGAGCCGAGAGAGACCACAACAAACCAACCAAACAAAATGGGGAAAATGAAGGAGACAGAGATAAGTCAGGGAACAGGAGGAAAAGTTCACTAAGTAATGTCCTCAGAGAGATAAATAAGGAGGCTGTTTCTATGTTGGGGCAGGGGGAGGAAAGAACAGAATAAATAAGAACTCTTGGAAATTAAAACTATGATAGCTGAAATAGAAAATTCAATAGAAGGATCGGGATGCCAATTCAAGGAAATAATCTAGAAGGTAGAAGAGAAAGACAAGGACAAGGGAAATATGAGAGAAGAGAAAAGAGACCTGAGGATCAGTCCTGGGGGTTCAGGACTCATGGTAGCTCCCGAAAGGAAACAGAAAGAGATCATGAAAGAGAAAGCAAAAGAAAGTTTCATGGAACTGAAGGACACAAATCTCCAGACTGAAATGGGCCACCGAGGGCTGAGCACAATGAATTACAAAAGTCACTGACGTGTCACATGAAATCCCAGAATTCCAAGGATAAAGAGAAAATCCTAAAAAAAAGTCCAGAGAGACAGAGAAAAAAAAATTATATATAAAAAGGAGTCAGAAGGCATGAAGTTTCTGAACAGTAAATCTAGGTGCAGAAGACAGTGGAGCAGATCACCGACAGTCTGAAGGAGAATTTCCAAGGCGGAATTCTATGCTTGGCTAAATTATCCATCGAGGGCAAGACAGAACACAGATAAGTCCAGGTATATGAAAATTTCCCACCCCTGCCCGATTCCTTAGGAAGCAACTATAGTTTCCAAAAGAAGGGAGGAAATCAACAGAGACAGGACCAGGAAACGGCATGGGGAGACCACGCCTGCAGACAGCTTGGCGGGAAGACCTCTGGGAAAGGGAGCCCAGGACAGAATACAGAACCTGACACAGCTTTTGTGGGAGACAGTCCGGGGAGAAACATGGAGTGCAGTTCTGACAGAGCATTTGGGGAAATGAAGAGCCATATTTTCTTAACAGGAACGCTGATCACTGAGTTACCTAAAAATAGTGCTCCAGATACATGGGGCAGACGGATGGGGCCGGAACACAGCTAATTCCTTAGTTATTCCAACAGGAAAACAACAGATAATGTCTGAAGTTGGTAAATTAAGAAATAGCACTACAAGCATATTACTTCGAAATTTGTGGGTAAACAAAAAACACAGGTAAAAACAGCTAAAATGGTTGCTGGCAGGGTGCGGAACTGAAAGGACAGATACGGTGAGCAGGTACAGCCATTTTTCAGTAAAAGCCTGTCGATTTGCATCCAGGCTGGGCCTCAGATTTCCTAAGGCATTTTCAGACGCAACGTCTCATCGGCTTCTTAAGAAACTCTCTTGCAGAAACAGGAAACCAAGGCCGAGACAGGGGCAGTGACCGGTCAAGGTCACACAGCGAGGTCTGCTCCCGCTCCGCCCCCACCCACACACCGAACTTCAGAAACCGGCTAAGGGCCGGTGGGGCGCCAGACGACTCGCCCCCACCCCGGACGCCCCGGACCGGGTCTCGCAACGGCAGTGTGGGCGCGGCCGGACTCAGCCCGCCACTGCCCCTGCGCCGCCGCCGCCGCGTCCCCACTGTCCTTGGGCGGACGCGCGGGCAGCAGCGCGGTGCCGCAGCGCCCCCTGCCGGTCGCCCGCCCGGCGGAGGGGATGGGACCCCGCGCGCGTGGCTTTTAAGGGCGGGCTGCGACCCGGCCGGGGGACGCTGCAGTGACACGGG